CTGATTCTCCTTTTCCCTTCTTTTTTCAATCTTTAGAAAAATAATTTTTCAACTTCTTTGGCAAGATATATAGTAGGTTTCTTACCTAGCAATATAGTATTATCCAATAATATATTGTAATTTTAAGTGATTCTATTACATAAATGCCACAATTTATGATTCTTTGCATTTATTAATTGGAGACGGGGTGTTTCTGTTTAGTACATCTCCAGGAATGCTATTATACGCACTGTCTCTGCTCAATTCCATACGATATGCCCCAGAATGACTGAAAATAAGTAAAAATTAACATTTTTATGAGCTCAATTTTTGGATTATTTGAAATCTAGTTCTTACACCCTGAAGTCAATAAAATTTTAAAATAATAAAAATAATATGTATACATACATGCATCAAGTGTTTTATGAGTGTTTAGTGCCCTTAAACTTGAAATGCTGTCAATTCAATGAAATTAAATTTAAGAACTATGAATTCTTAGAAATTGACACACTTCACACAAATCTGTACCTTCAAATAACAAATAACATGAGAATATTCAACGGTAAACATGAAGCTATTATAATATATTCAAGCTGGAGTTTATTCTTTTGATCAAAATGATATTCTCATTTTTCTTTGGATAATACATTTTTAAGGTTTATTTTATTCTAATAGGTCTTTGGTATTTATTTTGATTTCAAATTTAAATTTAATAAATGATTACTCTATGAGAAAGCCAGAAATATAATACAATAAAAGAACAAAACAGATGAACCTTCATATCCTAAAATTTAACCACAAGGTTAAATAAATCCTATTTTCCCATTCTAAAATCAGATATATGTTCCTACTTGGAAGAAAAATACCCTTGGAGATCTGGAGACTCTTGGTTGTAATAATAAAATGGAGGTCATCCCAAGGATGTGGTAGATAAAGAATTACTTATTTCAGTGAATTCATCCTAATGTTCATGTTTTTAATGCAAAGGCTCATCTGGACAACTCCCATCAATGTCAGATTTCACTTATTTCTTCCCACGTAATGTTTGTGCAGATTACTTTGTTTTCCTTTAATGTTCGCAGATGAACCATGTTTGGGAGACAAGTCCATATTCTGTCAGATGGAGGTGCTGGCCCGGTACTGCTCCATCCCGGGCTATAACAAGCTGTGCTGTGAGTCGTGCAGCAAGCGCAGTGGCACCCTGCCACCGCCGTACCTCCTAGAAGCTGCGGAAATGCACGACGATGTCATCTTCAACCCTAGTGACCTCCCTGGGTCTCTCGTGATGCCAACATCTTTGGTTCCTCCTCCTCCAGAGGGCCGTGCGGAGAGGAGATCTCTGAGTAGCGTCTCTTCCGTGGGAGGTCCAGACGCATTCGCCGCTCTCAGGCCAGACAGTAGACCCGACGGTGCTAGCTCACCCCAGAGGCGAGCCCAGCCAGCAGGAAGCAGGACTGGGGGGCTGGCCTGGGCGCCGTCCTCCCCACCCGCCCAGCGCGGCCACCGCGACCCAGCTCCCCAGACGGCTGCCGCCTCCTTCCTGGCAGTCAGGGATTCAATAGGTGCTTCTTCTCAGGCAAGAACCTCAAAGGGAGACGAACAGATTCTTGACAAGAGACATCCGATAAGATCATCTGCTTTGGAAAGATGAGAAAGTGAACCCAAAAAGCTGGAAATCAGGGGGGAACCTGCCAGCTCCCTCTCCCCGCGGTGCATGCGCTTGTTGCAAGTGGAAATCTGCGCAGTCATCGACTCGTTTCATCTGTCAGTGGAAGAACAAAAGTGCTGGTTCACTTTCTAGTTGCTTTCATCCTCCCACTGTTCTGCATTGACTCGTTTACCAGAATTCATCGGAAGAAAGCACCAAAGATTATCACCAGGAGAAAAATTACGTTACCAAGTGCGTCGGTCACTCTCTGAAGCAGAAAAGGGACTGGAACCAATTGTGCATATCAGTTGATTTTTTGTCTGTTTGTTTGTTTTAAAAAAGTTACAGTAAAAATAAAGAGATACCAATGGTTTACACTTTAACAAGAAATTTTGGAAATGGAGCAAAGAATTCTTAGACTTGTATTCCTATTTATCTATATTAGAAATATTGTATGAGCAAATTTGCAGCTGTCGTGTAAATACTGTATATTGCAGAAATCAGTATTATTTTAAGAGAGGTGTTCTCAAATGATTGTTTACTATATTACATTTCTGGATGTTCTAGGTGCCTGTCATTGAGTATTGCCTTATTTGACATGTCATAGTTGACTTTCAAAGCAGAATATTACAAACGAGAAGTTAGAATCACAGCTACTGACAATACAAAAGGTTTTTTTTTTTAATGTGGTTTTATTGAATCAACAATCTGATACCCAAATTATAGATAAAGAAAAAAAACAGAGAAGCTGCAGACATACAGATTTCAGCTTACCTATTGCCTTCTGGTCTTATAATTAAAAAGAAGAGGATTAATATCTTAGTATACTTGTGGTCATGGGGAACAAAGAACAGTTAATGAACCCATGCAAGACTAAACTGAAACCCTTCTACCAGAACCTCAATAGGTGCCAGTGAGGTGCTCTATGTTCTTGTGTTGTAATTTTTTTTTATTTTATCATTGTTGATATATACAAACAGTTATGCCGAATGTACTGTAATAATCACAAAGAAAAATGTTTGGGGATGACTTGTTTGTATGTTGGTAGCTGAGAAAAATATCAATCTAGAATTGAAATTCGAGTATAATAGGGCTTTGGGGCTTTGGAGGCAGGATCAAGAAAGCATTTGTCAATGGTTGAGATATTTATTTTCTACATGGTTCATATTCAAATGTTCACAACCACAATGCATCTGACTGCAATAACGTGCTAGTAATTTATATCAGTGATCACCTTGCTCACAGCAAAGCCAGAAATGCTGTCTCCAGGGAGTAGAGGAAAAGAACTGGAAAAAAAAATCAAAAACCAAAAAAATTAATAAAAAGTGAATTTTTTTCCTTGATAGTATTTTTATGTCCTAAATATTTACACTAATATCAATGACATATTTTGGTAAACTAGAGAGACTTAATTATAGATGCATGCTTTGTTCTGTGCATAGAGGAGAAATTTAAACAAACTATACCGTACCCGACTCAAAGAGCTAAAATTGAACAAATTTGATGTTATTAAAACATTTTGCATTTTTAAAGTAGTTGAAATTAGGTTGATAGTTTGTTCCCCTTCAAGGAAATATAAAATTGTATGGACTCAGCTAGCTATTTAATGAAGTAGTGAATTAGAAACATTTTTAAAAGTATGTGAAAGAAATAAATCTTTCGTGAATTATACGTAAAAGGGAAAAGAAAGATAAATGCTATCAGCATAATGTTTTTGAGGTCAGTACCTGAGCTGTCTAAAGATATACTATGCAAACTAAAATGTAGATATGTTAACCTCTCAAAGCACAGAATATACAAGAACGTTTGCATTTTAACCATCAGAAACTTACAGCTTTTAATCTATTGACTCTATACCTCTAAGAATTGCTGCTACTTTGTGCAAGAATTATGAAGGTCAAATGAAATGAATTAGATTAATTCCAGATAGTAAAACAATCCCTGAGCCTTAAGTTAGAAGTCTTTTTTTTTTTTTCCTAAAAATTGCCCTAGAATAAAATTCTCTCTAGTTTACTCACGTGTGCATACGTCTGGTCCACAGGGAAATATAGAGAAAGATGGTCACACACATACACCTCCCATAAAGATGTACATGTTTGTTATACTTGTCACCTTTGAGCTTTCTTTTCTACTAAGCTAAAAATTTCCTTTTATCAAAGTGTACACTACTGATGCTGTTTGTTGTATTGGGAGCGCGTAGCAATAAAAATGTTAACGGAATATAGATCCGGCTCTATCTAGATTTTATCATCAGCGTCATCACAGAGTAATGGCAACAGTCCTTTCCTCCTGCAGAATGAAATGGCATCAAATCCATTTGCTCCTTGTACTTTCTCGAAAGACTTAAATAAAGAGACAGTGTCGTCTGTTTTCACACAAGGGTGCACTGTAGTAATTTTTAGAAAACAAAGACAAAATAAGAGGTCATGGGAGGTGGCTTTCTGCTTAAATCTGTCCTGACTTGAAGTATGAAGAGGATGAGAGAAGATGGTGATAAAGCCAGTATTTCTGAGAAGGACAAGGGGGACTTTTATTTTTAAAATGTGCAGTCTCTGAATGATTTTAAATAAAAGCTGCCCACCAGTTTTGGACCTTGATTACCTGAGGATTGGTGGAAGCTCATCACTGAAGACTCAGAGCATGGGGAGGAAGGGAACATCACAGTGGAAGGTCGTTTTTATGTCCCAGGGACATGCTATAGCGCAGTGGCTTCCGGCTGGAACTGCAGGGGCGGACATCGCAGGTTTGCACTCCGCCTACCACTTCACACCCAGGTGGCCTTGGGTCACCTTGCTCATGTGATACCTAAATTATAGAAGAAGAAGAACACAGAGACCCTGCAGATATACAGATCTCAGCTTACTGATTGCCTTCTAGTCTCAGAATTAATGAAACCTCAAATTTCAGTTTCCTCATCTGCAAATGGGAGTCAAAACTGTCTCATGTTATTATGTGATTGCTACCAAAAATGAGATGATTAAGTCAAGCTGTGAGCACAGGGCCCGACGCGCAATAGCTCACGGTAAATGTTAACTATTAATATTAAGTCATTGTCCTTGTGCTCATCATCGTCATCTTCATTACGTAACTGAACCATAGCTTTCCTCTAGGGTCCACAAGCTAGTTTGATTCATGGTCACTGTGTCTCACGGAGGGTGGTCAACAATATGATTTCAAGAATTTGAAGACAAACAATTTAGCTTTAAAAATGTGTGGGATAAACTCATTAAAAATGATCTCCAGTCATTGATGTTGAAGAATTTTAGCTCATTAATGCTCACTCTCCCTTTGCAAGCAATAATAGTCAAACTAAGGGACTGGGTATTAATTATGTATTTCTGCAAAGGTGGTCCATGGTACAGTAATGCCCCAATTAACAAATGTGTTGCTCATATAGTTACATTTATACACTTTGCAGAAATATCAACAACAAAACCATTCCCCCATACATACCTTACCTTTCTTCATGAAGAAGCTACATAAATATATGATGTAAAAGAAAAAAACAATTGAAAAGTGATGAAAACATGACTAAGCCAAAGAAGTATTAAACAAAGAAGACTGTTAAAACTATTTAAAATGCAGTAAAATATAAAAACTGCCCTAGCGGGCACAGGCAATATATCAACATATCAATATCAATACATCAACCCATATTAGAAACATTCACTTTGGGCCCAGATACTTTTGGACAATTCACTTAGAGCCAGAGACAAAATTTAAAAGTTCATTAAAATACTGCCTACCCAGCACAGAAAGCATAATGTACTAAAATGGATTTGACATCAGAAACACAAATTATGAAAGAAAACAAGGAACTATGAATTCTGAAAAATCATCACAGAGTTTACCTAAGAATTAGAATTACTACTTAAACTCTCACCCCATCGTGCTAAATGGCAGGTGTGTAAAAAGTTGCTCAGCAAACTTCCTACATTAGAACTATTGCTTAGAAAGGCTTATTTTTCAGCTAATTCATAGTTTCAACTAAATTGATGACAAAAGTAGCTTTCGCCCATTGGATTGTTAACAATTTACCTGGGACTGAGTAGTGTTGGTTTTTGTTGATTTTTTTTTAATCTGCCAAAACCCCAAAGTTTTCTGATGTCAGGGAGAGAATGATTATTCACAGCCAAGTATTACTCTTACATATATTGTCAATCTTACTATCCTCCCACGTAGGATCTCTCTAGAAGTTGAAACCAAAATAATGAAGCTTTTCTACAATCTGCTATTCAATAAATAAATGGTGCTAAAATTACAAATACATCCACACAAAGAACAACTAATTTCGGATGAGTTATTTGGAGACTTTACAAGGAGAAACTCCCACTAGTAGTTCAAGGGTGAAGGCAAATTTCTCCATGGTGGAAGATCTGAGGACAGTAGGTCTGCTTTCTATTCCTGCGACAAAGTGGTAAGAGTTTTAAACGTCACAAGAGGTCATGGTGCCCTCATTACTCTCAAGCCACATGGCTGGTTTACATCTGGTTCTAAAGTCAACTAATCATGACTTGGAGGAGTTACTTAATGTACCTAAGCCTCACTTCTTTTATCTAAGTACTCTGTTCTGTGTTCCTCGCTAGACTCATCATCAAGAAATACCAACCATACTTTCCCACTATCATCCTTTTCTTTGTCTCTTACTCTCCATACTCAATCAGACCCCTTGTTCTGCTAATTTCGCTTCTAAAATCTCTCCTGCATCTGTGCCCTCCTTTTTGTCCTCGTGTCTCTGTCCAGCAGGCTCCAACCATAACTGTCACAATTGCCTCCCTCTCTGTGGGATCTCATCCTTCTCCCACTTTCTACTCACCCTGCCATCAGTATTCTGTTGTGTGTATCACCGCCCTGTCGAAGCCATGCCATGCCAAATCAGAGTACATCCATGCTCTTTCCTCTTTCATGTCTTGGGGTCCTTATTGATTTTTTTTTATGCTTCTAACTCACAAAATCCCATCTCAGCCCTTTCTATTTTTCCATTCATGTTGTTAACCATAGATGTTGAAGCCCCCATAAAATGAGCTCCTTTCTCCCCCTGTCTACTATCTTGTGGATTTGATTTTAGAGAAGTAAAGGACCATTTCTCAACCGTTGTATACCAGAGTCTTGCACCCCTAGTAGATGTTTTTTGGATAAGTGAGCAAATACCTGCCTAACCATTCCTCACAATAGGCGCGATTTCCTTTCATCTCGTTTTTACTTCTCCTTGCAGTTCTTCCCTCAATGGATATACTTGATCAGGGATTACTAGTTTGTTAATTCCGGTGAAGATTATTATTTCCAACGCGTAAGTTAAAATAGTCAAGAAACTTTGGTGGCCCTATTAAATGTAAATTTACAACCCTTAATTTGATCATGCTATTAGCCTTTTTAAACCACTAGATGAAAAAAAAAAAATATATATATATATAACTGCTAAATTCATTTAGATGAGGCTAGAGTCAGGGTGGTTGGAATAAAAACAATTTAGAGTTTAAATTATAGCCTGGAAGAGATTTCTAAATGCAGTGAGAAAGTGTGGTGATCTTGCCTAGTCTCATGTCTTTAAATACCATCTATTGGCTAGAAACTCCCGAATTTATTTCTCTAGTCCATATGGTCTCCCGAACTCCAGATTCAATTTATAACTACTTGACATTTCCACTTGGATGACTAGTAGAAATTTATAAACTAACAAGTCCAAAATTGAACTCCTGTTTTCCCATCTTACTGGCCCCCAACCTGTTTCATCTAGAATTTTCATTCCTTCCAGTGTCTCAGGACCAAGCCATAGGGTTTCCCATGAATCCTTATATTAGTTTTATGTTGCTGCCATAACAAACTACCACAAACTTAGTGGCTTAAACAATACAAATATTATCTTGCAGTTTGGCAGGGCTGACGCAGGTCCCCATGGGCCGATTACCGAGGTGTGGGCAGGGCTGTGTTCTCGTCTGGAAGCTGGAGTGGAGAATCCCTTCCCTTGCCTCTTCCAGGTTCTGGCAGCTGCCCACAGTCCTCCGCCCGTGGCCCCTTCTTCCTTCTTCAAAGCCAGCAGCGGTAGGTCAGAACTTTTCCTATGTCATCTCTCTTCTGTCGTCTCGTCCTTGTCTCACCAAAATGGGAAAAGTTTCTCCACTCTTAAGAACTCATGTGATTAGGTTGTACCGTCCAGGATGATCCAGTAGCAACTTTAAATCCATTTACAACTTTAATTCTCTTTTGTTATATTCTAGTTATTTTAAAGCATACTCTAAGTTATTATTGAGAGTTTAACATTAAAGGAATAGACTAACAGATAAAGGGTTTAAGTTCCGCACAGTAAAATGGTGAATGTTCTTAATAAAAGTCATATTATGATTTAAATTATCTATCTTTTCAATTTAAAGAAGGGAGAAGCAGTTATATTATAAAAGAATTTCAATAAAAATGATTTTTAAATGAATGATAAGTTTATTGGTAATGGGGTAAATTCATCCAACTGCAAAATTCATGTTGCTGCCCAATAATATTAGATAGGTGTGTACAGAGTATATGTCTAGGTCAAGATTTATTCTGATACCTGATCTTATGACATTTGTTAGGTATTAGATGGTGTTGGTACTATTGTTATATTAAGACTTTGGGTGGTGAGTGAACCCTTAAAGTGGAAAGATTTAATAAAAAATCACCAAGAGCTCATTTAGCTAAAAGATACTTTTCTGGCTTCTGCATTGATTTCTTATATGACAAGTGAGCACACTCAGAATATACATATATGTGCAGTTCCTTATGTTAAAGTATTGATATTATTCACTGTGTACTTGTATTTTAGGTTGATAGTTGTCAGAATAAATACCATTTCTGATACTCTTTATAAATTGTTGCAAGTTTAAATGAGAATATTCTAGGACATGAACCAAATGAATGTGGATCACAAAATGGTCTTAAGTGCTTCTAAGTAGACCCCTGGCTCTGGTTTAGAAAAGACGGGGCTCCTAGAGGACAAAAGGTTAATGAGGACTAGGAAAGGCTTTAGGGGACCTCTGTCATTTTTTTTAACAGAATGCAATATACAAAGAAATAAAGATCTCAAAAAATAAAACGTATGTTCTGCAAAATGCTTTCCTAACTCCAAGTTTTACTTACAAAAGCTCATTATATATGAATTGACTTCTGTATTGTTATGATTATATTAAAATTTCACAGTGAAGTTTTGAGAAAGGTAAACACAAACAAATCAGAGCCTCCAGTCTTAAACCA